CCCAACCACAGCGGTCTCATATCTTCCTGTGCTTGTTTCGCATGTGGTCCCGGGACTCTGTGTGGGTCTTATTTTCATCCTGAAGAGTTTTGCCGAGGATTGATCGGATGTATTAACCGACCTGTTGTAAACCATCACTTGGCCTTGCAGCCTCTGTGTTGTGTTTGGTTTTTTTTCTCCCGTGGTTGTGCGTTCATCACCATTGCTCTTTTCCTTCTGTTTTGTGTTTCTCTTACTAGTCTATTTTTGATCTGTGGGAGGTGTGGCTCGCTCACTAGCCTTCAGCTAGCTAAGCTCCAGCATCAATTTGGACGCAGTTGCTGATCATGAGCTGTCTGCTTCTTAGTCATTCAGACCTTTTCCCTCCCTCTAATTCCCCATCCCTTCACCTCCCTTCACCTCCCCTCCCCTCTCCTCTCCTTCCCTCTCCTCCCCTCTCCTCCCCTCCCTTTTCTTCCACTCCTCTCTCCTCTTCCCTTGCTTGCTTCCATCAGTACAAGTTCTGGTTGGTTTGCTGCTTTGGGTTAGTGACCATGGTACATTTTCCTGTCCTTTCTCTTTACTTTCCCCATATATACTCATGCTGTGCATAACTTTTATAAATACCTATTTTAAAAAATATTTCAACAACATTCTCATTTATTTATTTTCTGTGTGCAGGCATGTATATGTCACAGTACCTGTGTGGAGACATCATGCTTCTGCTAGAGCTTTCCATTCACGTGTGTTTACTGGGGTCACTGTGGGGCTTGGGTTTAAATGTTTTAACATCGTGATCTCGTACTCTCTGTTGTTTGTTCTCAAATAGGCCTGGAGCTCTGCAGACCAGGCTGGCCTCAAACTCACAGTGTTTTCCCACCTCTGACTCTTAAGTGCTGGGACTAAAGGCCTGACCTACTCCTCCTATCCTCTCTATAACCACTCCCACTTACCTCCTCTCCTCCCACTGATCCCTGGCAACCATTCATATATTAGTCATATCTTCGATAAATTTTAAGCTTGTTGTAGAGACAGAACCATCCAGGATATAACTTCTATATAATATGCAGTATATTACAGTATATATATATATATATAATACAGTATATAACTTCTCTATAATCTATAGTATATTGCAGTATATAACTTCTATATAATATACAGAATATTACAGTACATAACTTCTATATAATATACAGTATATTAGAGTATACAACTTCTATATAAAATATAATAGATTACAGTATATAACTTCTTTATAATATATTACAGTATATAACTTCTATATAACATACAATATATTATAGTATATAACTTCTATATAAATACAGCATATTACAGTACATAACTTCTATATAATATATAGTATTTCACAGTATATAACTTCCATATAATATGCAATATATTAGAGTATATAAATTCTCTATGGTATGCAGTATATTAGAGTATATAACTTTTCTATAATGTATAGCATATTTGAGTATATAACCTCTATATAATATACAGTATATTAGAGTATGTAATTTCTCTATAATATACAGTGTACTAGTGTATATAACCTCTACATAATATACAATATATTACAATATGTAACCTTTATATAATATACAGTATATTACAGTATGTAGCTTCTATATAATATACAGTGTATTATAGCATATAACTTCTATATAATATATAGTATATTACTGTATGTAACACATATACAATATGCAGTATATTACAACATATGGCCTCTATATAATATAGAGTATGTTACAGTATATAACGTTCCCCCTCGGAACAATAATTTTCAGATTCCTGTATATATCATTTTTTATCGCTATCTAGTATGTATATATCATTTTTTATCGCTATCTAGTATTCTGTGGGGTGGACGTATCACAGTTTTTTAGTCACTGACCTGGAGAAGAAAATCTGTTTCCAGTCTGATGCCCTTATGAGTGGAGGTGGAGTGAACAGTGCAGGTTTTCATGTGGATTTTAGTTTTGAATCATCTGGAGCAGATGCCTGGAGAGTGACTTCTGGGCTATGGACTAGCTTCATGTTCAGTTCTTAAAGACTGATCTCCTTTTTAATTACATGCAAGTGTGTGTGTGTGTGTGTGTGTGTGTGTGTGTGTGAGAGAGAGAGAGAGAGAGAGAGAGAGAGAGAGAGAGAGAGATGCACTAGAGTGCAGTGTCTGTGGAGGCCAGAAGAGGGCGCCATACTCCCTGGAGCTGGATTTACAGGCACCTATGAGGGTATTGTGGCAACTGGGAACTCAGGTCTTCTGGAAGAGCAGCCAGTGCTCTTAACTACTGAGCACACTCCCCTCCTCCCCCACCTTAAAAAGAAACTGATAATTATTTCCAGAGTGGCTTTGCCACCCCCTGAGATATGGATGTCACCCCCTTCTCTGCGTGGCCACCAGTTTGCTGCAGTTCTTGACATGGCTGTTCTGTTGGGGGTTTTGTGACGTCATGTTGCAGTTTTCATTTGAATTTCTCTGTTAGGAGGTCTTACAGGTCCGTATTTAGCAGAAGGGTGTCCTTGTCTCATTTAGTTGCTGTGATAAGCATCACTACCAAAATCAATGCTGGGAGGAAGGTTTTGTTTTGTTCCCCTTCCCTTTACCATTGTAGGTCCCAGCCCATCACTGAGGGAAGTCAGGACTGGAACTCAAGGCAGGAACCTGGAATGGAAACCACGGAGGAACACTGCTTATTGCCTCGCTCTCTCGTTCATATTCAGTTACATTTCTTACACAACCCGGGACCACCTGCCTAGGGATGGTCTCACCCACAGTGGGCTGAGCCCTCCAACGCGAACCAGCAGTCCAGGCAATCCCCCATGGACACACCCACAGGCCAGGCTGACGGAGGCAATTCTTCTACTGAAGGTCCCTCTTCCCAGGTGTGTCAACTTGACAACCAAGATTAGCATCACAGAGACAAGGCTTGGGCTCTGAACGTGGAAATGGAGTAAGATTCAGGCAAATGAGAAAACATCCCATGTTCATGGACGGGAAGAGGTGGTGGTGTTTAGATGGCCATGTTCTCCAGGCTGATCTGCAGACACAATAGAGTCCCTCTTGGCACCCAGATGGCTTCATCCTACAATTCACAAATTCCACAAGGAACCAGAACAGCCCGAACAGTATGGAACAGAACAGAGAGGGCTCAGATGTCTGCTGAGCCATGCTAACCAGGACAGTGTGTTCTTGGCACTAGGAGATGTATTAGTCATTGGGATAGAATTTAGAGTTCAGAAATAAACCTCACATTTATAATGAGTTGACTTTTGACACAGCACAATTTCTCATGGCACTGGGACTACTGGATATTCACATGCAAAAGCCCTAAACTTCACCATATGCAAGATTAATTCAGGATGGACCAAAGGCTTGTGTGAAGAAGCTAAATTGTCAAGCTGAGAGAAATCTTCACAGACTTGAATTAAGTCAGTTTTTTAGGTATAAGGCTAAAAATGCAGCCAATAAAATAAAAATAGGTTAATTGGCCTCCCCCAGAATCATTTGCCTTCTGGGCTCTCTGGAGTGAATATCTTCTCATGTCTAGTTTGATTTTTTTCCTAATCATTTTCTCATCTCTTCTCCCCATTTCCTCTCTCCCTCCCGCTTCTCCTTCTTTGAGACAGGGTCTAACAAATCTCAAGCTACCTCCACCTTGCTGTGTAACTGAGGATGCTGTTGATCATCTCATCCTCCTGCCTCCGCCTCCCAAATGCTGAGATTACAAGCCATGCTTCACCACACGCCATTTACGTGGTACTGGGGACTGAACACGGGGCTTTGTATGTGCTAGATGAGCATTCTCCAAACCGAGATACACCCCAACCCTAATGTGATGCTTTCTTATTTTGCTCTGAGTTTCCTTTATGTGTTTTGGCTGCTGTTATTTGTTGCCTTTGTGGCTGCAATTTTTTTCCTCCCATCTATATAGGGCTTGTCTTTTCTTCTTTGTAACGGGACCTGTCACAGAGCAGAGCTTTCTGGAGGAATAATTGATATTTTTATCATGCTGGGTCTTTCAATCCATGATCAAGGTATGCCTATCTTTGGTTTAGAATTTCTTTCGGTGTTTTTTTGTTTGTTTGGGGGGGGTTAAGTCATGCATGATATTTTTATATCTGCATCTAAGTATTTAATTTGGGGTGGAGGGGCTTGTGGCTGTTGCAGCATTTTAAACATTCCTGTTCTTATTTTTGATATTAGTAGGTAGAAATCAATAGGTTAATGGCTTCTCATCTGGTGTTCTGCAGCTTTTTAAACTCATGCTTCTGAATCGCTGTAAATTCTTTAGAATATTCTATGTCGTGTGCAAGGGGGATATTTTTCTTCCTTTCCTACCTTCTCACCCTGGCTCCAGCCCTCAATACTACCCTGAGCAGCACAGATGGGTGCAGGCATTTTGCCGTGTTTCTGGAGTCATTTGCTTTTGATTTTCTGAACAACGTTTTTGTAAGAGCAGCTTCCGGTTCCTAACACCACCAGTTGCCCCTCCCCCGCCCCAACACTCCTAGTGTCTCCAATTTCAACATTCTGCTGGAGCCATGTTCACCCACGGTGAGTGACCCTTGCTCACCCCACGGTCAGTGGACCCACGTTCACGGGTCATCATCACTAGGCTTCTGGGTTTTCCAGAGGCTCCGTGCACTCCCTGCTCTGTATCCTGTGGGTTTGGACACAGGTGTAGTGATAGGGACCCAACCTTATAGCACCATATGCGGCTACTCCAGTGCTCAGAGCAGCAGGACAGCCACACCCAGCCTCCCAAACCTTATCCTGCTGTTGTCACCCTCACCATGCGACCCACTCAGAACAGGGTCTGCCTGGCCCTGTTTTCTCTTCCGGACCTCGAGCAGACCTTGAGGTCTTCTGGGTGGACCTGTGACCCCGCCCTCTACCCCTCTGCTGAGTCCCCAGATTCTGTTCCTCTTTCCCCCTCAGCCCACAGCAAATTACACTGCTCCGGTTCCCAGTGTGTGTTCGAAACATCAAAACCAACTTCAACCGGGAGAACAGTTAACTTGACTTCTCCTTTATTAAAACTAAGGACGTCATTATAAAAACCACTATATAGAAAGACAAACGCAGCGAGACAGCATCGGTGTAAACACGCCGCTAATACATCAAATTCGGAAGGGGGACAATTATCTGATATCAGGTTTTTGTTTTTCGTTCTTATTTTGGTTTTCCCGGTCATGGGCTCTGAGAGAGGCTCCCCCATGCCTTCTCAACATGAGCCTGGAGCTTCTAGCATAGAGACACCTTCCTGCCCCACCCCGCCTACCTGGCTTTGTCCCACTGACCCAGGGAGAAACAAGTCCTTTGTAGGGAGGTCCCTTGCCCCTCTAGGGTGGCCGGGCTCTTCCCCCTGCAGCTTTGTTGGTTATTGCACGTTGCCCACACGCTCACCTGTGGATATGAGATGGGGGACATAGCCCCCTCGCTTGAACACAGACTATGGGGAGTAACAGAAAGAGACTGGGTGTGAGAAACTGAGACACAAGCCGGAGAGTCAACCCTAGTCAAGTACAGGCTGTGACCAAATGGGAGGCCGTGGTGGACCCGTGACTCCAGCTGCTGGTCCCATGATTAAGGTTAACGCTGACAAGGGGACTCTGTATGTTTTGGAGGGTGGTGTGAGTTTGTCAAGGGTAAACGGGTCAGAGTTTTGACATAAAGATAGGAGTGTTAACCACTGAGTGACTGACTAATGGTTAAACCCACTCACTCACCAAGCATTTCTAGCACCGACTACCAGGCAGGAATTTGGACTGAAAACAGGGTGGGGCAGGACAGGCAATGCCACCTCCAAGGTCACTTTTGTGGGAGGGATAGATAAACGTCCCCGTGTTTATTTTGCAAATAGGAGTGTTTCTGTTAGGCACGGCGAGTCAGGTCCGTAGCGGTGGACCCCAGCCTCTCACGGGGACACTCCATGTTCTCTGACGGAACCCGTCTAGACACAGGAGGGACTTCCAGTGGACACTGGCGACAGAGAGTGGCAGGGGCTACTCAGCAAGTGTCCGCCGAACAGCTGAGGATTTGTGCAGTGTGTGGGTGGTACAAGTCCTTATGCTGATGGCCCCAGCTGCCAATCTTCCCAACCACAGCCCACAAAACGCAGGCACATTGTTGAGGCTACAGAAGGGATAGGAAACCGTGATGGCACCCGACACACAGTAGACATAAAAGCTTGTTTTCTAGAGGGTTCGGGGCACCACTTTTGCCCTGTGACATCATCTCTTCCTGGTCCTCTGACAAGGCAGACGTTGGCACCCACATGGTGAGCTGTGTGACTCAGTCTGAGGCCGCTGCTGCCCCGGCAGAGCTCCCTGGCAGAAGCTGTGCTGGCTCCCTGCCCTTCACACACACAAGAAATGCCCGGGAGGCCACTCAGATAGTCACCTGTGCCCAGATGCCTGGGGAATCTCATGTTTACCTCCCAAGCAATTCCTGTTAGTGGGAACCAAGCAGCCAGATGGAAAAATTAAACAAGCCAATAAGAAATGTCTGGAAGCCTGAGGCTCTGGATCCTCTCACAAGCTCTTGCAGAGCTGGGGACCAGCTGTAAGGAGTTGTTCAGAGGACAATGGCTGGAATGCCAAGTGGGGCTTGTCCTGGTGTGGACAGGAGTGGGGGCTGGTGGCAGTCAACACAGGGCATAGCCACATCATATCCTGCTATTTGTAAGGACCTGGGGAGGGGCACTAAACAGGACGAGTGAGAACCAGCTCTTGACTGAAGGTCACCTCAACCACCATCCCTGGCTTGTATTCCTGGTACCTCAAACCCTTCTTTCCACTTTGGGGCTAAAGATGCCTGATGGGTTTTTTGGATGATCTAGGAAGTGGCCCTGCCCTGGGCACACAGCAGAACACATCACTGTTTGTATCAGTGTTTTCAAGGAACTAGATCAACATCATGTGTGTGCATGTATGTATTGGTTCATATGTAGGTATATATGTATATATGTGAGTGTATTTGTGAACACGTGTGAATATGTGCACGTGGCATACATGGGTGGATATGCATACATGGAAGTCTATATTCTCATCTATAGTGTGTATGTGTTCACAGGTGTTTATTACTGAGCATGTAAACATGTGTAAATTACACTCATACGTCTGAGCATACATGTGTACATATGGAAATATGCATATTTGTACAGATGTGAATGTGCGTGTGTATGTGTGAACACATGAACATGCACAAGTTATGTTTATGTGTATGAATGCATGCATACATATTGTGTAAACGTGTGTGCTCATGGGTATGCACATTTGTGTGTGTGTGTGCGTGTGTATGTGTGCGTGTGTATGTGTGTGTGTGCATGCACTCCTGTTTGGATGAAGTGCTGTTGCACACTGGTGACAGTCACCATCAGATGCTTGGCCACTCCCACAATGGAGGAGAAAGACATTTCCCTGGTGACTACAGCCCGCCAGGGAGGAGCTCTGAATGGAGGTCCCAGAAGGCAGATGACAGGGCATAAAACTGCTTACTAAGGACATACAGCTCCCAGTGAGAAAAGGTCAGACAGACACAAGATGTCCCATGGCCCTCCTTGAGCACATGGTGTCACCAGCTTCTCTGCTTCCTGTGGCTACTTGTTGCTACAGGAGTGTACTGTGGCCTGAGGCTTACAGAAAAAAGGCGGGGGCAGGGGACACAGGAACTGGAGGAGGCAGAGACAGCTCAATAAATATTCAGGAACTTGTCTCCACTCTGTGTCTGTTCAGGACAGGCTACTGACTGACACATTTGCCAGCCACAGACACCATGGGCAGGGGACAGATTCTCATCGTGGCCATCTGGGGCCCTGCCTCCCACCCCAGTGCTCACATCCGCATGGACACAGCTCTTGCGTTCAGTAGCTTTGTGAAGCGGCATGGGGTAAGACCCTGCCCTGTAACCCCGGTTTTCCAAGTGAGGAAAGGAGGCTTGGAGAGACTAGCTGGGTGAGCCAGTGTCACCTAGCTGGGAAGGAGCAGGGTGCCCAGGGCTGCAAAGTCGAAGCCTATGCTGACCTCTGGCAATCGGTGTATTCCTGTGTCCTGGACAGTCTAGACTCTTAGCCCCAGACACATCTATGAGCAAGGTAGGCCCTCATAGATGAGAGATTCAGACCATCAACCAGAATCTTTGTGGGGACCTTCAGCTATTCCCTAAGAGACTCTTGATGGAGAACCCCATTGCCACCCAGTACCCTACTATCTGCATGGCCATGACCTCTTGTGTCTGAGGAAGGATGTTTAGTAGCCCTGAGCCCTGTGCGAGCAACTGCCAGAGTGTTTCTCCGAGCCACCCAAAGCCAGAAGTCCCCTCAACATCCGGTCTGATTCCTTCCTGTTACTACTGGGGAAACTGAGGCAGGAGAGCCCCAGGCCTTGCCTGTGATCTCTTTTTTCAGGTGACATCAGGATCTGTGCAGCTTGGGGAAGGATTCCCTTTCCTGCAGGGGGCCTGTAGGTATGGGCTGGTCCAGCTGGCCCACTGCTAACCCTTAGAGTAATGGTTGCTCTGCTCCCTAGGATACTTCAGCATGTGGGGGAGGGTCCATGCCCATCTTTAATCAAATGCCAAGCATTATCTTTCCAGGCTATGTGTGGGGCATAGCAGTGCATCTCAGGGAAACAGGCTGGGTGAAGAGAAAGAGGCCTTTGACCCAGTAGGCCTCTAGAGTCGACAGAGTGACTGCTTCCATCTCCACAAATGGGACCATCTCTCCCTCGTGTGGGGCTGAGATGATGAATAGCCAGCCGGAGCGGAAAGAGCTTTGTGCTCCAACACACAATACTATCACTGGAGAAGCGCTGTGTGCACACATCACTATGGTAACCATGGAAATCTACATATGTTACCATCTCTTGACCTCTGTCCTGGCCACCCTAGCTTGTTTGCGTCTAGGAACCTGACAGGCATGTGGCTCTCGTGGCCCCCTCTTTGGCTCCTCTTCTCTAGATCCGTTGCTGGTCTTGCATGTCATTTGGACCCAGGCTTAAATATCCCCGACCATCCAAACCTCCGCCCACAGTCTCCACAATGTGGTCCCCATGGGCACCTCCACACTGGCTCTTCCTTCCTTGCTACCCCTTGCTATCCCCTACAGTGTGTGGCGGGCAGGTGGCCAGCCCCTGTGGGGCTATCACTGGTAAAGTGAGGGTTCAGCTTCAAGTAGATTGGGTGATGGGGCTGAAGGCAGGGACACTTTGACCTCATTGATAGGGGTGGGGTGGCCATGTCTACATTGACAATGTGGCCTCTGGAGAGTTCCAGGGTCACTTCAGGGGGATGTCTTTCCTTCTGTGTGCCCGAGGGCAGTGGGTTGGAGGCGGTGATGATGAACTCCGTGGGCAGATGTTACGGGTATCCAGACTCACTCGGAAAACCCCCATTTTAAGAAGACAGACTCATAGAACCCTCTGCTCTGGGTTTCCTTAGGAGCCTTCACCCTGCCTGTGTGTTTTTTCTCCCTTCAACGTGCAGCACCCCAGGGCAGAGCCCGGCATTCTTCACCCCTGCATCTTACCATTGCCTGGCCTGGTGCATGGCAGGCGTGTGGCTAGTGTGAGCTTGTGAGCGAGGCTCAGGCAGTGACGGTGAAGGACCTGGGTGGTGGGTGTGCTGCACTCCTGTGAAAATGTCAGGCGTGGACTCCGATGACCGCCGTGGGGGACCTGGGTTATGGGGCCTGTTACACCCCGGGAATCAAAACCTGGACTTGGGTTCCTGTCACCCGGGGGCCAAACTGTGGAGCTGGCCCATATGACGGTGGCACCCTTCCCCAGGCTACATGATTTCCAGAGGTGTTACACGCCCACCTCCTAGGAACTGTGATGGTTCACACAACACATCCAAACCCAGGCTGCCCAAAGCCAGCTGATATATTTCCTTACTACTGCTGCTGTGGGAACAGATCCCACCAGAATCTATCCTCACTGGTAAGCTCCAATCCCCACTGCCTATGGCACAGGAAGGCTGGGCCCTGTGCCTGTCCCCTCCCCCAGCTCACAGCTGCTGACCACGGCAAGGCCTGAGCCTCAGACAAGGGCATGGGCAAGACTCTTCAGCCACACGGTGACCTGTGCCCATCAGAGAAACTACAGCCAGTGGCGACGGGGCTCAATTAAACACTAGCTGAATGAACATATAGAAAGAACCCTGATCACACACACGTGCGCGCACACACTCACAGTCAATATTCCGACACGGATAGGCCTAAGGGGGCCACTATTGGGGGGAGTGGAGGAAGGGGGAACGTCAGTGTTTGGACCATGGTACAACTCACGGCCACAAATTCTTCTGGCTGGGGCCAGCCAGGGCAGCTAAGTGTTGTTCCTCTCAGTCCACACCGAGTCTCTTCTCAGAAGCCACCAGCCCAAAAGAGAACTATTGCTTGCAGACAGGTGGCTCAGAGCCCCTTTCCTGTACCCTGTCTGTCCCCGGACCCTGAGTTTGCTCCTAATCTCAGAAGTCCTCGGAAGGGGGGTCTGGGCACAGGTGGTCTTTCCTCTTCTGTTACCACGCCACTGCCCCGGCTCTCCCTGGTGTCTTGGTTGAAGCTGTTCTTGGAGGCTGCACCAGGAGCTCTGGGTCTAACCTCCTCCATCCTGAGGCACAGCAAAAGGGTTTTCTGGAGGGAGTGGAAGAAAGAAGTATCAAGCATTAGGGTGACGAGAAGCCAAGAACACGTGACATTGTACTAGAGGTCCTGGCCCATGCAATAAGACAAGAAAAACGTACAGAGTGCCAGGGCTTGAATACAAAAACCCAAATGACAATTAACTGCACATAATTTATCTGGAAAATCTAACAGAGTCAACAGGCTGCTTATCAGGACAGAGATTACAAAAGTAAATATAGTTCCACTCTTTAAGCCATCATATCAATTGATAAGACCCAATGAGACTCATCTCCCCCAGCTTGACTGTACACCCTGGCTTGAGACAGTTCCAGTGAACACCTGTCATTGAACATAATTATTTTACGTTCATGCTGTTAGTCTTTAGCCTTCTAGAGTACTCTGATTTGGATGAAAATGTATATTGCATCCTTGTGTAATGAGCTGACAACTATTCAAAACAGATAAGGATGCCTTCCACATGAATAACAAAACCCATTATGCCTCTTGGACGCACACATTATGCCTCTTGGACAGGTCTCCATGGCTTCAGACCAGATGAAGTCACGAAAAGGAACTCAAGACATTCCTGGACCAGAGATGGGCTGGGAGACTGATGGGTAAGTAGAAGGATGTAAGGGAGGCTTGAGGACCAAGGGCCTTGTGTGGATGGACCGGGCTGCAGGTGGGACAACAGGGAGGGGGAGCAAACGCATTATGTCTGCTCCACAGGTCACCATGCTAAGAACAATCACCCAGGGCCAGTGAGCCGGCTCAACGATAAACGTGCTTGACCCCAAATATGATAACTCACGTGGTAAAAGGGAAGAAAGTCGCTCTCTGACCACTCACACACGCATGCTATGTACACACCCCCACACAGACACACACAGAATAAAGGGATGAATGAGTTGTTGAATAATAAATAAATAAAACAGCTACCCAGTTCCAGATACCTGTCTTCCTAGAGGCCTTTGTAGATGAGGGTGACCACATGATGGGGTGACTGACCTAGGGAAGCCAAAGACTACTAGGCTGCAAGAGGAGCGATGTGATTGGCTGTTTCCTTATCCTGTATTTTCAGGGCCTAGAAGGGCAACTGGCACCCAGGAGGACTCCATAAATACCTGCTGAATGAATGACTGAATGAATGAATGAACCAAGCCTGGGCATGGGAACCATCTTTCAAGAAAGACTTGTTTGATGTGTGTGTGTGTGTGTGTGTGTTTCAAGACAGGGTTTCTCTGTGACTTTGGAGCCTGTCCTGGAACTAGCTCTTGGAGATCAGCAGGCTGGCCTCGAACTCATAGAGATCCGCCTGCCTCTGCCTCCCAAGTGCTGGGATTAAAGGCGTGCACCATCACCAGCTGGCCAGTTGTTTGATATATTTTTGAATTACTATCCCCGTGAAGCCGGCTTACATAGACTACCAGAGCACAGGTCTGGGCACATGAGGGGGCACGGAGAAGGTGCTCTCTCCAGGAGTACGTTTGAGAAAGCCCAAGGGTGCTGACAAGCACAGAAGAGAATGGAAATGAAATCAGGGAGGGTATAAATAACAGACCGTAGGAGGGAACGAGGTGAGGAGGAGGCGGCGTAGATAAACGAGGTCTGACTCATTTAGAGTTGGGGGTCTGAAGAATCCCTCAGCAGCTAAAGTCAAATCAGAAGTGCGAAGGGGCACGGGACAAAAGAATGCAGTGATCATGAGACAAGAGGAGGGGAAGGCGAGGCACTGAACACTGACTAATGTTGTTCATTGTGGGGGGAAAAATAAGCGTCGTATCACGAAATAAATGATTAAGCCTATTGCATCCCATTATAATCACGGAGGTAACCATGACATCCAAACACAGCTTTCCGAGTGATCAGAAGGCGTTTTACACGGAAAGCAAAACAAAGAAAACCCAGGCCATATGGGGGACATTGACAGCCCCCACCGAAGTTATAAACGCAAAAAAATGTATCATAAACCGGGACGACAGAAATGGGACTGAGCGTGTCTGGTGCGGCAGTAGACATTAATGAGCCATACGAATTTGCTAAAAAAGAAAAGGCACTTAGCGGGGATACGTTCCACGTCAGGCCAAGCAGCTCAGAAGGGCCCCCACTTCACGCCACCAGAGCCTACACTTCAAAAGGGTCAGGCGGTAGGTTCTGCTTCATGTGCTCTACCCCATTTCAAAAGAGCGTGCATGGTGATACATGCAACAGGATACCAGGAGGAACTCAGGGTCAGACACAGTCAAAGCTGGGTGTAACTGGGACGGAATCCTGGTTCAGGGCTTCCCTGAGGCACAGTCCCAGGGTCCATCCTCAGCACAGGATGAACTGGGTGCAGTGGGAGTTCTAGGTTCCCTAGGCTACATGAGGCTTAAAGTGAAATGGGGGTGGGGCAAGAGACAGAAAGAATAGGAAAAGCAAGGGCAGTGTGTGGAATGGTAGGGACAGTCACCATGAGGCCTAACACTAGTGAATCCCTGTGCTCAAGACAACACAGCTTTGCCATTTCCTCCACAGGAACAGCCATGGATGCAGGAGAAAAAGAGCCAGAGTGAGCTATTGTTGGTACGCCCAGTTCCCCTCTCTCCATGACAGATGGAGGGGCCAGCAGCCAGCATAAGGGAATCTCTTCTCTCTCTCATACACACACACACACACACACACACACACACACACACACACATTGACAATTAGGCCTAAATTTCAAACAGCAGAAATAAAACATTGTCTGGTCATAATATAATATAATTTGAACAAAAAAACCCCACAATTCAGGGGTTAGAGGTGTAAGTGGTACACACTTACAATCTCAGTTTTCAAGACAGAAAGGCAAGAGGATGGCTGCAAGTTTTGAGCAAGCCTGCACTACATATCAAGACTCTAAACAAACAAACAAACAATGGCTGATGCTCAGCTGATAAAGCGCTCGCCTCACAAGTGTGAAGACTTGAGCTCAGAGCCCCAGCATCCACATAGAAAGCTAGGCTCCATAGCAGGCTTCTGCTATCCCAGCATTGAGGAGGCAGGTAGGCGCATTCCTGGCTTGGCTGGCCATGCAGTCTAGCCAAACTGGTGAGCTAGGTTCAGTGAGGGACCCTGTCTCAAACAGCGAAGTGGAAAGTGATTGAGGAAGACACACGATGTTGCCCTGTAGCCTCCACATGCGTGTGCACACACATGTACGTCTACACACAAACTCACGCACCAGAGAAAAACTCCCAAAATAAACTCTACTTTGTAAACTCTTTAAAATAATACCTCACCTGAGTCCAAGAGACTGAAGAATAAACATCACAAAATATCAGACAAGAAAAACAGGAATTTTAAAATCGGCCAAAAATGAAAATAACGTTTCCAAAGCCAAGTGGTGCAGCTAAAGCTGCACCAAGAGGTGGCTTCATAGCCGTAAATAAGCTCTTCAGAAATGTGAAGCTGCAAGTGGGTCACCAAGCTCAAACAGTTAGAAAGGGCAAAAACAAGCAAACAAAACCAAGGAAGACACAGCAAAGCAAGAAAGAGATCAAAATGGAAACAGCCCGAAGATGACTCTCATAAACAAATCTAGCTGTTGGTGCTCTGGAAAGCAATGGGCTATGTGAACAGCTGGGGATTCCAACACAGCAGAAGGTGGAAGAACAAGAGAGGAGCTGTAGATGGTAGCTGGAAAGGGAGGACCCATGTACTTTCTGTCCAAGTCCGTTCTCCAAAGACCCCCATGCTGCTAAGTCTGTCGCCAGCAATCACCACTCCCTCCCCCAGCACTGGTCTAATGGTGTTGACTCTGCCATGTCTCCTGTTCTAGATGTTCCTGCCCTTTGCCCTGATTCTTCTTGGCTTCCAGGGATGTTCCAGTCCCTGACTATCAACCCCCCGGGTCGTATTTTCCTGTCCCCTTCTCCTTCCTCCTGGAGCCTCGGCATTTCCCAAGGACGTCAGCACTGTCTACATGGTGCTGTTCTAGTTCATTTTCTGTTGGTGATAAGCAAACACCATGGCCACGACCAGCCTGGAGAGGAAAGGGTTTATTCTATCTCACAGGTTACAATCCCCCACGGAGGGAAGGCAAGGCAGGAACTTAAGGCAGGAGCTTGAATCAGAAACCGATGAAAGAATACTACTTAAGGGCTTGCTCCCAGGCTCACCTGTTGCTACCCTCCTTACAAGGACCATGCCGATCTACCTAGGGAAGATACCGCCCACAGTGGGCCAGGCCCTCCTACATCAAATTAACAATAAAAAAAAAATGCTTCTCAGACGTAACCTGATACAAGGTTAATCTGATGGAGACAATTCTTCAGCTGACCTTCCCTCTTCCTGGGTGTGTCAGGTTGACAAACGAGGATTAATCATCACAGGCTAATGTTATTTTTCTTATTGCAGTGACTAGGAGAAGTAACACATAAGCATGAACCATCTGGGTCATCTCAGGTCCAGCTACCGATGATCAGGAGATGCTGGACCCACTGACATCTGCTTGTCTAGAGTAAAAAAAAAAAAAAATCACTAACTGCCAAGCTTGCCTAGTTACCCAAACCCAGCCAGGCACCCCAAAAGCTTTAAAATGAACAGGATGTAGGATGAACAGATAAACCCATTCACCCACTTTGTAGGCAACAGATGGTTTGTACAGCTGTACCCCTGCCTACTCAGCCAGTGAGGGTAAAGTGAGGGACCTGGGTTGGGGTTATAGAAGTGGTCCTTTGCATTCCTGCCATGGGGTCGCTTGCTGCCCAGATTTACAAAGCCAAAATAAACTAACTCTTTGTTACTCCGCTGCTAGTGGTTGTTATGAGTGGGGTTCCTGGTTCCCCACAGTGACCAAATTCCTAAACAGAAGCAGTTTAGAGCATGGCAGGTTTATTTGGGTTGGTGGTTTGAGGATATAGTCCATCATGGCGGAGAAGGGCATGGTGGAGGGAAAGAGCAGCCCTGCAGGTGACAGAAGCAGGGGTCTTCTGGCTCATGTCTGGGAAGATTCAAAGGCAGACAGCAGACAGGAAGTGTTAGCC